TCTCCTCTGTTCTGTAAGTTGGCATCCAGATATCCATCTGGTAATGTGGCAACCACACTGAGAGTTAGGAGGGCAAGACCGATACAGAGAATCAGATACAGCAGAAAGATGAAAAGAATAAAACCTGGTCCTTGAGTGTTGTCCCTACATGCTGGATTAATGAATGATGGAGTCACTCCATGCTTTGTGGGAACTTCTTGTTATTTGATCAATAAAATTTTCTTATTATTTGAGCCATTTCAAATTGAGGTTTCTATTTCTTGTAGCTCATGAAGTAGCCACCCCATTATCCTTTAACATGCTTTCTACATCATTATGGGTTTGAAGCACCCGCCTTGGGATTTTCACCCTAACAGTCTACTGAGCCATCAGGGATCCTCAGAAAGATGTTACTACTTTGCTTTATTGGCTATGCAAAGGCTTCCTAATGTGCACATCATGACAAATCACGGTTGATATCGCAAAGACTGGGAATTTCAAAATACTTCATCATGCTTACGTGGAATCTGTACTTAGACCATAGTTTCCAAAACTATTTGTCCTACTTCTCCTTTTTTTAGGGAATAAGTACAGTGAGAATTCGCCTTAGAAGCGAGGATGGTTAGACTTTGTCTCAGACTTTGACAAGTTATCAGAAGAGATCAGTCAAGCTTGGCAAATTTGAGGGGAAATGAAAAAGAGGAAGGCCTTTGAAAAATGGATTGAGACAGTGGCTGCAATGATGGGATCAAATATAGTAGCAATCAGAGGATGGTGCAGGATGGGGTAGTATCTCATTCTGTGTAATAGGGTCACTATGGGTCAGAGCTTAGTTGATGGCACCTAACATCAATAACCTGGAGCCCTGTTGGGAAAATGGGTGATATTTTGGGCTGCTAACCAGAAGATCAGCAATTCAAAGACACTAGCTGCTTTTCAGGAGAAAGATGGGGCTCGCAATGATCGATGTACAACTCCCCCTCCCCCCAAGGGGATGAATAATACAAATGTGGGTGCAGGGAGACAGCGGACGATGTAAAGTGTGAAAATAAAAATAATTTATAAATTATCAAGCGTTCACAAGGGTGGGAGGGGGAAAAAATGGAGCTGATGCCAAGAGTTCAAGTAGAAAGAAAATGTCTTGGAAATGATGATGGCAACATACGTACAAATATGCTTGATACAATTAATGTATGGATTTTTATAAGAGCCTCACATATCATAATCTATTTTATTTTATTTTTATGATGATTTATTTTTTTAAAAGGAGTTACAACTCCAGAAACTCACACAGGCAGTTCTATCCGTGGAACCAACTCAGTGCCGTGGGTGAGAGCCAGAAGAGCGAACAACTGTGTCTTGGAAGAAGTGTCGACAGATTCTTTTCCCTTAGAAACAAGGTAGTGACACTGTACTTCAGACATGTTGTCAAGAGGGAACAGTCCCGGAGAAGGACATCATGCATGGTAAAGTAAGCGATCAGTGACAAAGAGGACCTTCCATGAGATGAATCATACGGTGCTTCAAGCTTTGGCGCAATCATAGCAGTGAACGTGAGGGTCCCATAGAACTGGGTAGAGTTCCTTCAGTTCGACATAGGTTTGCTATGAACTGGAATTGATTGGACGACATCTAAGGACACAGTAACTACTTCATGAAAGCTCATCTTTTGGATATTGTAGTCTTCCTATTTCCAAACACAATGGTTTCATAAGTATTATTTTGCTATTTTCAAGTCCTTCATCCTAATGTTATAAAATTCTATATGGACTCAACTTTAGTATCTTCACACATTTTTTGAAATCTTTACAGCTATAGCTTAGCTAAGGAGCTTTGGTACACTAATTGTAAGTGTAACAGAGAAGTAGTTGGGGCCGTTAGTATATCTTGCAAATACTTCTCTGTTCAGTTCCTTCTACCTCCTTAGTGAAAGTGATTCGCCATCTGGAATGGAACAGCCTTGTGAATAAGACTGAGACCTTATCTTTAGAGAAGAGCCCAGCGTTTTGTTGGTGAGAGGAGCATCTTCATTAACAACACCTACAGCTTGGCACGTCTGGCCTAGAATTCCATCTGTACTCTTCTACTGCTTCCACAGGAAGGCCTTCCTATGTCAATGAAAACCTTAGACACTGGGGGGCCCTGGGAGGTTGACTCTAATGCCTAACACTAATCCCAAACCAAAACTATAGCCATGGGGTCAGTTCTGGCTCATAATGACACCTTGTAGGGTATTTGAAACTGTAAATCTATATAGGAGCAGACAGCCTTATCTTTTTCCAATAAAGGGGCCCGTGGATTTAAACTGCTGAAACAATACTTACCAGACAATGCCATCAAGGTGAATAGAATATTACAATTACTATTATTATTATTTGCCTCGTATATCTGAGTTATATATGATGCTTTCACCTTATAAAAAGACTAAAACATTAAATATTTTGTAACAATTAATACTCTGAAAATCTGGACAAATATACTGTATATAATATTTAATTTTCTCTTATAACTCATTGTATATGCTAATGTGAAAAACAAGAGAAAGTGCTAAGATTAGGAAAATATGCTAAGATTAGGAACTAGCATGCCAAAATGTAATTAATGTGAATCTAGAAATATAACTTTCTTGCATGTACTCTCTCTCTGGCATATAATTTACATATTAATTTATCATTTATGCTACTTTATTATTACTAAATATATTTAGAAATATGTGGCACATTTACAAGATGATATCAATGCCTGTCTATGACCTTTTTAATAATTGCATTATACTTTACTAAATATATGTTTATTTTATATTTAAGTCCTTTCCCTCCCAAATGTCAATGGTAACCTAATGCAATGATAAACATTTGTGTGTATAGTACAGTTGAGCACTTCTTTTTGCTGCCACTTGGATGGCCAGAGAAATGACTCTAGCGTGCAATAAAGTTACTGGGGGATTTATTAGTGAGCTTTCAGAAGCAACATTGGTGTCATGAAGTGAAAGGAAGCCGGGTGAGAGAGACTGGACTTCTCTTAACCCACTGGGTCTCTGAAGTTGGGGTGGCCCTGCAGACTAGTGCTGGGTGGGAAAAAATTGAGTTGAACTTTTATTCCTTCCTTCCAACCAATCACAG